ATTATATTATATTATTACTACAATATATACAATATAATATAATAATAATATATAATATTATATAATATATTATTATTAAGTAAATTATTACGTATAAATAATATGTATAAATAAATATATTGAATAAATATAATCAATTTAACTTCTCAAGCAAAACATTTTCTGAAAGGACTTATATTATTTCTGCAATCATTCAGTATAAATTTTATTATTGTAAAGGCCATTAACTTGTGGAGATAAATAATTTTATATATTCAATTTTGACATATAACCAGAATAGTCACACATTTAATATCAATACACAATATTAATATAATATTATTTGTTAAGTAATATCATGTTTCTCAGATCTTTTATATTATATATTTATTAACAAAAAATATCTATTCTCGTCATAATGGAAGAATATTTATTTTCAAATTTCATTCATTCTACACAGTCGAACCAAAACTTTTAATTTCAAGAATTCTTTTATATCTACTACGCGTAATTAGCACTACGTGTAATTACTACGTGTAATAAATTCCAATGTAACTCATGAAAAAGTTCCGGAACTTTTTCGAACCCCGCTATTATCATATCATTGTCTCATGGATGGCAGCTGAATGCGATTACAAAAACTTCGCGGCTTTAATGCATTAAGACCGTAATGTTACTTTAATTGCAAGCAGGCTGCAGCCGTAGACCGTCGATTAGTCTCATATAGTACCTAATTACTGGGACGTGAACAAAATTCTCTCCTATGGAACATTACTAGCGACCAAGAAAATTTTAATCACTGTTTTCTAACTTTTAAAGAAACTGTGTGTTATATTACAGTGAACTAAATGCTTGGAAAAAATCGATTCAAGTTGTTGGTATCGATTTTGTTCCATTTTTTTTTTAATTACGAAGGAATGAAATTTCTTTATGCAAATATCTTATAATAAGATATATACAATAAATATCTTATAATAAGATATATACAATAAATATCTTATAATAAGATAATCTTATAATAAATATCTTATATTTTATACAAATATCTGCAGCCTAATAATATCACATTGTCAACAATGCTTTTCAGTCAAGTAATTAATTCACGCTACATACACTCTCCTTCAAAAGTATCAGAGTGTGGGCAGGGGGAGTAATAATTTGAGAAACCGATAAGAAATTGTTATAATTCCTTGAATTTATTTCAAAGTTAATTTTATGAAACTGTAACAAGTACATGCATCTATATATTTTTTTACTTTATAATTCAACCAACGTCAATTTTATAAATGGAAATTAAATTTTCTTTCCGTCGATGCATCCATCGCGTTTTCTAATTACTTCTTGGACTAATTTCGGCATCCGTTTTATTAGTCTGTTATTAATCTATTATTTCTGATTCTGTTTGGTTCCATGCATGTTGTAGTATGTATAGTCCACACATTTACGTATCGTACGAAATTAACTCAGCATACGTTTTCACCGAATAAAATGCAATAAATCGGTAAACTAGTAGCATAAGCGACAAATACTATTAACGTGATACGCACCGTCGGCGATACAATGCCACAGAACTTAATCCCAAACGTAAGACATTGCCTGAACCGAATGAGAAATTACAATATATAATAAATAAATAAATTAAATAAATAAATAATAAATAAAAATAAAATAAATAAATTACAATAAATAAATCAGCAGGTGTTCTAATACTTTCGGAGGTGAGTGTACGTGTTATTCAATAGCGGCATGCCGCGCGTGCGAGTTAATCGCGAGACATTAAACAGTGAGATAATAGAATCCAATTTAATTACGTTGAAAGTATTCGTCGTAGCTTCGTTCTAACCGAAATTTCGTCGCCGTTATAATTATCACGTCTATGATCTAGTAATAGGGATTCGCGCGCGTGACTTCTCCTAATTCTCGCAGTATCGTACCTTCCCCCCCGAGCCCTTGAACCTACTACTACCTCTCGCCTTCATTAGTCCTCAATAAAATCGTCTTTAAAACGAAATATTCTCTCTCGAGTATAATTATAACACTATCGGATGAAGTAAAATTTCGTTGCGACCTTTGCAAATGATAAAAGTCTCTTATTGAACCAAAATTGCAGAAGGTGCGATTAATAGTTTTTACCCTCGTTTTTTACGCGAACAGTTTAAGAATTTTTATAAATGTCGTAAGCAGAAGATTGAAACAAAACAGAATGTGACTACATCTTCGTTTCGATGGAATTATTAAACGAAGGTGTAAAACGTTAGATAAACTGGAGTTTCTCTCGAAATACAATTTTTACAGACATTGCAGTTCTAGTAGAAAATCCATACAAAATCCGAATTACTTCGTATCAAGCAATTGATTGCTGTTCTTGTACTAGAATCGTGAATCAAGTAGTAACTAAATTATGTTCGATGTTATTGTTTCTTACGTTACGCAAACATCAACTGCAGTCTGAAATAAATGATTTCGAACTATGCTTACTAACCATAAGCATAACAACTGCTACAAAATTATTCTGTATTTTATGTTTCGTTACGTAGAAACGAAGGACAACGAAGTATTCATATTCAATAAATGAAAATGTAATAGATTTCCCATCATTTTACTTTTATAAGTAACTGCAATTAACCTTTAACGGTCCAATGCCGCTATATATACATTGCAAAAATCAATATAACCGTAAAATCTGACGGAAAACTTTGTACTTTGATGAAAATATATCAATGAATTTTTNCCATGATTACTTTTTGTGATCAATTACTGAAGTAATCACAAAATTACTGCCGAACTCTGAACTGTAAAATCGTGCCGCAAAAAACTCGAATGATCCTTTCCCCAAATTGTCCATTTTTGTGTACAATCCGAACAATCGTATCTCCTGTTTCCAAATTGTCCATTTTGTCCATTTTCGTTTCCAAGTTGAAGGACAATTTGGGAGAATTTGCTCCATTTAGTTTCACAGTATTTACCCCTATCTACCGTGAAATTAAAGTAAATGTTCACAATAATCTCAAATTTAATGAACCAAATAATTTTAATCTAAGCATTTTTCTTTATAAATTTAACTCTTCACGGTCCAATGCCGCCATATACATTGCAAAAATCAATATAACCGTAAAATCTGACGGAAAACTTTGTACTTTGATGAAAATATATCAATGAATTTTTATACAATAAATCTTTTTTCATATATTTCGTATATAAATCTTTAGCATAATAATTTCTACTACTTGAAATGTATACTTGAAATACTTCTGGTCCGCTAATGGTTGATATGTACTCGAGGAGACGAAAAATGTAAAAATAAATCGATAAAAGCAAATACATCTAGCACTTAGAAGAAGTAGTAATAGTGTGTCGTGTTCTTTTTGTAGACTTATTAACATATGTGGAGCAAATAGCCAATCAAATGTGCAGGTTCAATCATAACTTTAGAGACATCCTGCACATATTGGTGTACAAATTCTTAAATTCCAACTGTTATTATTGAGCATAGTTCCTACATAATAATAACATAAAAGAATACTAATATAAATATAATAAAATAATAATAGCCAATCAAATGTGCAGGTTCAATCATAACTTTAGGAATATCCTACACATATTGGTATACAAATATTCTTAAGTTCCAGCTGCTATTATTAAACATAATTCCTAAATAATAATAATATAAAGAAATAATAATATAAATATAATAAAATAATAACAGCCAATCAAATATGCAGGTTCAATCATAACTTTAGAAACATCCTGCACATATTGGTATACGAATTCTTAAATTCCAGCTGCTATTATTAACCATAGTCCCTAAATAATAATCACAGATGCTATCGCGCGTCCCAATCCCTTGATTTCTTTCTACTGCAATTCAAGAGAAACTTATTAGTTTCTCACGCACGATATATCTGATTCTTTCATGTTATTTTCAATTATAACCACTTTATAGTGTTCCAGCGATTTTAACAACGACACTAATAATCAACGTAAAACCTAACAGATTCGTATCAGCACGTGGCTTCCGCAGAGCAGAACATAACCATAATATGCACAACCACCCATATTGACAATTCCGCCCACAGAGACGCCGAATCCTTACACACAATATATTTCAAAGAACAATAACCATAATTATTAACTACTTCCAAGCGATCGTCCAACCTTCGTTGGACCAACCTCGTCGCCCCAACGTCGGCAACGTGGCGACGAAACCAGCCCCCGCTGACAACAACATTCGAGCCCGTTAAAAAATCCCGCCGTTAAAACGATAACATTCCCAGTGTCGTACCTTGAACCGGCGCGTAGATGTTGAGATAGAGACAGTCCTCGCTCTGATTCCTCAGGTACGGCAGCAGCCTTCTGAGGTACTCCGCGCGTCCTTTCGGCATTTTGTCGCTGAGCTCGGGCAGCCTTTGCGGGCAGACGGGCCCGAACTTGTCAGCGACTTTGACGCCGTGCCATATCGCGCCGTTGACAGGCGGCATGAATCGAAGGGAGCCGATCGGCGGCGACGCGTACGGAACGCCGCGGAACACTTCGACGCCCTCGAGGTGGCGATCGAGGGGCACGATAACGCCAGACAGTTCCCCGTACTTTGTCCTGACGATCCTCGAGCTGAGCTCGGCGCTGGCGGTGGCCAGGACGAGGCCGAGCAACGCCAGGATCGGCGACGTCATCTTCGTTCGCGCCCTACCACAAACCCCGTCCCCTCGGCTGGTGCGCCTCAGTCGATCCCCCTCCTCAAGCTCATTCCTCGGCTCTAGCCGCCGCCGCAGGCTCTAACGCTCGCGATCCTGATGACCCCGTTGCCACGAGGACCGGCCGCTTCGCCAGGATGCATCAGTGTACGCGAGGATCGATATCACCGCGCGATCCCTGACCGTGGATCACTCGGACGAACACCAACGTATCATATATCCCGTCGGTTCCCGTCGGCCTGCCCTCCGTCGCGACGATCGCTCTGCCCCCGGAGCAACGTTCAAGTCATCTTTCGCGGTCCTCGACAAGGTATACACTGGTCGGAGCCAATATCGAAGACGGCGGTTACCACGGATCGCCGGAGCCGCTCTTTAAATCGAGTCCTCTTCGAGGCCGCTGTTTGACTAGCCACGGAAACGTGCTGACGATTCTCGACGGGAAGTCAACACGCGGCCCAAGGCATCCCCAACTCAGCGTTCTGAAAGGTAAATAGCCCGAGTTACAGGAGCGACGACGGGGCCCTCCTTCACGGGATCCTCGAGGTTCTGCTATTCTATTCCGTATCCTGGAAACTCGTGCGTCGACCACTTGATCGTCGGGCAAATGCCTTTATTTCCGCGCGGACCGCGCCTTTCGTTCGACCGAGAGGCTACTGGACACCTGTCCGAACGGTACGTCGCATTTTACAGGATGATGTTCCTAATTGTGGTCACGAGGACGACGACGATACCGAGCGGTTTCAGCCGCGATCGCGGCTCTCCGAATCCTAAGAGCAGCGGACGGGATTAGAGGAAGCCGATCTCATTTCTAATGGCATGCTTGATGTGCCGGTACAAATAAAACGCGCCGGCCCTAATGACGCTCAGGAGAAATCCGCCCCTCGGATGTTTAACGGTCCGCTTCATCCTTACGAGCTGGCTTCCTAGAGCTTCCGGGGAGATGAACACGCCGGATACCGTGGACACCGGGTCCACCTCGGGACGCTTTATCGCTTCTTCTCACGAGATGCTTTTTCTTCTTCCTATTCTTATTCTGGACGGACGAAAGTTTCGCGGTTCGGCCGATCACGGTCTCTCCGGTGGCCGCTGCTAAGAGGCTGGCGAGAGGATCGACGGCTTCCGAAGAGGATACCGAGGCTCTGGCTTCCACTGTATCCAACATGAATCCCCGGACCTGGGCCAGTGCGGAGAACCCTCCAGGCTCCACTACCCGAAGACACCTTATCACTCGAGCCCCGCGGACCGTAGACACCTAAGCACTCTCGCACTGTTTGGGATCATTGTTCCAACTTGGCAGCTGCTAAGCCTGCGTAACTCACTTTAAACTTCGGCTCGGTCGGCTGCGCTCGGTTCAGAGGATAACGATCATGATGATGTACCGAGCCTCGGCCACGGCTGTGCCGGTCTTCGAGAAGGTTCAATGGTTAATTGAATCGATCGTGACTCGCTGTTCAGGCACCACTGGATGCCCCGTCCCTGTTGGTCGCAGGCCTGCGACCAGGCGGACCCGGCCGCTTCGCAGGCAGCCGCCCGATGCCGATCCTGGATCGAACTGCTGGACACACGCGGACACTTGGCTGGGGACCCGGGAGACACTCGCGATCACGCACTGCACACCCGATCCATCCGGCGATCTCCGTCACGTGGAGCCGGCATCCCGCGGAATCCGAGCCGATCCGATCCGCGAGGAACGCGAGTCGGTCGCGGGGCGCGCGGACAGGGGACGACGAGGGGATCACCGAGACTGTGGAGAGACGGTGCGAGACGACGGAGACACGGCCGCGGATCGCGCTGGACCAGAGGAGCCGATGTTGCCGTCACTTCGACCTCGGACAGACTGGCGTCAAGCGACACCGAGCACACTGAGATGCGCATGCCCCGCGCAAACGCTGCCCGTAGCCGCTCAGGACATGGGCGTAAGTCCCGTCGACCCGTCGATATTGCAGGGGGGATCGATCTGCCGGCGAGAAAACGGTTCGTGTCTGAAACCGCCGACGTACCCGCCGGCTATTCAGACGGAAAACACGGTACAATTGAGACAATTAACTTGACGGTGGGGCGAACTGTTATTTCGGAGTTCTACGGACGGGATCGTTTCGAACCGGCAAGCTTTTCGAGTTTCGGTGTCGTTCGTCGGTACGTCAGATTTTGCGATACGTTTAACGAACGATGTAACTGTTCGGCGGCGTGGTGATTGATCGTGTATATGCGAACTACGAGAGCAGGAGAATGTTCGTGGTTCTTCTCGTCTGTTATCTTCGTCGAAATTTTTAAGTTGCTGTATTTCATCGCCGAAATAGGAATAGCAGGATGGATGTGTCTATATGTAATGTAGACTGACAGAAATTGCTTTATGATTGTCGTGAAATATATGAATTCTTGTTGGAGGTTGCTGGTAGCGATGCAATAGCGATCAGAAATTTAAGACGATGAATTTTAGTTTTAGTCATATTGGTGTTTTATGTGACTGTTATTCGTTTTAGTGATATTATAAAATAAGAAATAACCTCAAACAGGTCAGAATTTAGAGATATTATAAAACAAGGAATAACCTCGAACAGATCAGAATTTAGAGATATTATAAAACAAGGAATAACCTTGAACAGAACAGAATTTATTGATATTATAAAACAATGAATAACCTTAAACAGAACAGAATTTATTGATATTATAAAACAAGAAATGACCTTAAACAGATCAGAATTTAGCGATATTATGAAACAAGGAATAACCTTAAACAGATCAGAATTTAGTGATATTATAAAATAAGAAATCAGGTGTAACAAAAAGCCTAAAACAGAATAGAATGGAATTAAAGTTTTTATCACAGTGAAAGTACAAAATTGGATGATGGAGTGGTTACGTTAGCTAACTTTACCCTTCTACAGTGTTCATAAAAAGTTACACCAGTGGTGGTCGGTTCATATCAAATGATATAATAATTAATATAAATATTGGGAAAGAAGTAAAAATTTATTTGCAAAATTCATTCAATAAATTTGATTACAATAAGGTGTTAATTAACACATTGAGTGCCCTGTCGGTGATATACGGATGACACTAATTTTTAGCTAGGTTTTGAAATTCATTTTTACGGTGACATATTCGAACAAGCTTAAGTTTACTAGGACGTTTAGGATGCTAAACAGTTCAATTTCAAGTACCATTCGCTATGATAAATTTCAACTTCCTCGTTTCAGCTTCATTAATTAAATTACTTCGATTTTGTGGGATCTCTTTAGGCACTCAACATATTATATCAAGACAGTAAGAGATCGAAAAATCTGAACGTCTCGAATACTCATGCTTTAATTACTAACGCATATTGTCTAAATTAAAATGTTATAGTGATCGTTATAATATTGTATAGTATGTTATAGTAGTTGTGATAGATTCTTATATAATAAATATGTAAATATTCCAGTAATTCAAGCAACTCGAATATATATATTTTCGTAAAAACGAGCATTGTCTTTTTGAGTAAAATTAACAAAAAAAGAATATTGTTTATAACACATGATCAAGTATGCAATATTCACCATCGTATATTTCGATGTTCTCAATTTCTATCGTATAATACTCCCGTTAAGAATGAAAAATGATCATACACACACAAGTATAGGTATGTAAATACATCCTCTTCTAGATAACAACAGTTTTCGTTTATACCAGAACTTCTCTTGAATGGTTGTCAGACATACGAAGCACTATGTGCGCCGTTATCATCTTTTCCTGTTAACCACAAACAATGCGGTGTCACAAATCATCCTGGAAATGGTGACAGCTTACGTTGTAGTAAATCAGTATGTATCCACATGTTTGGTTTAGATAATAATGCGATCCGTCGATGTATAGTGATGGAAAGATATGTTCGCGAACTTCTATAGATATTTGGACACTTGTTGGAATCTAGTCAAGTGCTTACAACTATTACTGTAATACGTGTCCGTTAGTGAATAAACTGCTCGTTATACTGTGATTTTAATAGCGAGCTCGTTATTCGTCATCTATTCTTCGTAGTAGCATTTTCATTAAAATGTAATGAAATCATAACAGCGCTATTCTTCAGATCCTCTTGAACCAGAAATATGGAAAGAGAATAACAGTAGTTGTAGTTCAGAAACGGTTAAAACAATTCTTTTCGTATATGGGACATTTGTTCTCACATAACTTTGATTATTGATATTATATTATATTATATTATTATTAGTTTTACGGAACTATTTAATTTATCTATACGTACATATTTCACATATTGAAATATGCCTATACGAAGCACTTGAACCTTTTGTAATTTCTGTCTCGGTAACCCCTTTTTGCATATAATTAAATATATATTAACAATTATTGTTCTTATTGAAATAATTTTACTGTTACTAAGCTTCAAGATTCTCGAATGCAAAGATATAATAAATGCCTAGAGTCTGGTTACATAATTGATAAGATTTCCTTTCAATTTTTATTTTTATTTACAGAAGTATTATATAATATTACATTCAATTATATAATATTAAATTCATAATTTTATAACCGTTCCTTTCCAACTTCCCGTTCTTTTCTAGTAATCTATGCTCAATTATTACTCATTATTAAATATAGCTCATATAATGAGCTATGCAATCCGCAAATGACAGGTTCCTGAGATCATTTGAAGCAGCTTCTTCCTTTACAAAAATTTTCTGCGAGGCACCTTTAACGAGTTATTAACGAAAAACAGTGACCAATAAGAATCGAGTACGGCTGACGCGAGGCGGCCCAGCCAATCAGCGCACGAAGCCCAGTTCCGCTCATTGGCTCGGTCGCCTCGCGCCAGCTGAGCTCGCCTCTCATTGGTCACTGTTTTTCGTTAATAACTCGTTAATGGTGCTTCGGAGAAAATTTTCGTAAAGGAAAAAGTTGCTTCAAACGATCTGAGGAACCCGCCACTTTCGGATTGCGAGACATTTTTGGGACACCCTGTATATAATGAGAGCTCATATAATGAGCTATCAATATAGCTATATATATATATAGCTATATTATATATAGCTCATTATTAATTGCCATTTCGGCCGACCACACATTTCTGTCCGCAAAAGCAGTCCAAATGAAACAAGTTTAATCGCGTACCCATGATTTTNTGTAGTAAATCAGTATGTATCCACATGTTTGGTTTAGATAATAATGCGATCCGTCGATGTATAGTGATGGAAAGATATGTTCGCGAACTTCTATAGATATTTGGACACTTGTTGGAATCTAGTCAAGTGCTTACAACTATTACTGTAATACGTGTCCGTTAGTGAATAAACTGCTCGTTATACTGTGATTTTAATAGCGAGCTCGTTATTCGTCATCTATTCTTCGTAGTAGCATTTTCATTAAAATGTAATGAAATCATAACAGCGCTATTCTTCAGATCCTCTTGAACCAGAAATATGGAAAGAGAATAACAGTAGTTGTAGTTCAGAAACGGTTAAAACAATTCTTTTCGTATATGGGACATTTGTTCTCACATAACTTTGATTATTGATATTATATTATATTATATTATTATTAGTTTTACGGAACTATTTAATTTATCTATACGTACATATTTCACATATTGAAATATGCCTATACGAAGCACTTGAACCTTTTGTAATTTCTGTCTCGGTAACCCCTTTTTGCATATAATTAAATATATATTAACAATTATTGTTCTTATTGAAATAATTTTACTGTTACTAAGCTTCAAGATTCTCGAATGCAAAGATATAATAAATGCCTAGAGTCTGGTTACATAATTGATAAGATTTCCTTTCAATTTTTATTTTTATTTACAGAAGTATTATATAATATTACATTCAATTATATAATATTAAATTCATAATTTTATAACCGTTCCTTTCCAACTTCCCGTTCTTTTCTAGTAATCTATGCTCAATTATTACTCATTATTAAATATAGCTCATATAATGAGCTATGCAATCCGCAAATGACAGGTTCCTGAGATCATTTGAAGCAGCTTCTTCCTTTACAAAAATTTTCTGCGAGGCACCTTTAACGAGTTATTAACGAAAAACAGTGACCAATAAGAATCGAGTACGGCTGACGCGAGGCGGCCCAGCCAATCAGCGCACGAAGCCCAGTTCCGCTCATTGGCTCGGTCGCCTCGCGCCAGCTGAGCTCGCCTCTCATTGGTCACTGTTTTTCGTTAATAACTCGTTAATGGTGCTTCGGAGAAAATTTTCGTAAAGGAAAAAGTTGCTTCAAACGATCTGAGGAACCCGCCACTTTCGGATTGCGAGACATTTTTGGGACACCCTGTATATAATGAGAGCTCATATAATGAGCTATCAATATAGCTATATATATATATAGCTATATTATATATAGCTCATTATTAATTGCCATTTCGGCCGACCACACATTTCTGTCCGCAAAAGCAGTCCAAATGAAACAAGTTTAATCGCGTACCCATGATTTTGTATTTAACACAAGTACATAATCAACGTGCCATATTTAAAGATACCATTAGGTACCGTTTTATGTAATGTGAGAATTAACATCATGCCTTGAAGACGTTAGAAACTATTGGCCCGATCTTGTCCTCGCCACGAAGTTATAACCATGTGTTTACGTTTTGCCGATCCTTTTGACAAACTAGACTAGAGTATAACCGGATCCGTTTAACTGTTTGCAAACAAAGCCCGGGATCGTATGTATGCTTCCACTGATTATTTTGTAAACACGATCACGTAGCATTCTATGAGCTCCGAGAAATTTCGAATCGCTGATATTGTATGAACAGTGTTCACCGGAGCTTATTGTATATGAACAGCTATACTTCGCGCGCGAAC